CATACAGGTAGTAATGGATGCAGCCCATAATGGTAAATAGGTTGAGAACCACTGGTTTACAGTGTGACGCTGAACATCCTCAACTTTCTTGGGCTTGAATGGGACTTGTATTAAGTGCAAACCTTGAATTTGTCATTTAGCACCTTTCAAGATTTAGCCTTTCTTTAATATATATTTAACTCTATAAAAGCCCCTCTCCAGTTCCTTATAATGATTTGTATAGCATCTGTTTGCAATGTCAGAATGATTACAGGGTTTTTAAACCTTTCTTACTCCCTGCTGAAAAGTCTTTCCTCCCAGAAATCTATGCAAACTAACACCTGGCAAAATAAATCAACCTTGCAGGATGTCATGAAGATCAGAGAATCTGGGTTCTCTTGGACACAGTGAAGAAGGGAGTTCCAGAATTGATGACCCTTGCTTTAAAAACTGACACAAGCCCCTCCCATTTAAACAAGAGGAATAAAATCAGACTCAGGAAAAGATGTCAGGATGTGTGGGCAAGAGGCCTGTATGTTCATGCGTGCTTTCAGAATCAGCCCATTTTCTTCAATAGTGAAAGTAATAAGCTCATAACTTGTTGGAAATTCTAGCTGGTATTGTGGATGGGTTTAACTATGCAAAAATTAAATTGATATTTAAATGGATCCCAGGTCCTTTGCATTTTCATTTTATATATGGATACCATAAATGGTGACTTGCTTGTTGTAGTTTGGCAGCTGTTTTTCTCTCTTGAAATTTACATCTGCTATTTGTATCTTCTTAATTCATATTTCCAGTAAAATTTAACTGTTTTTGCTAAAACACTCCATAACCCTTCATTCTAAATATCATGTGTAGGTCACAACTCTTCATAAAGGAGAGGAAGCCAGGGTACAGAGAGGGAGCTAGGTTTTCAAAAGTGGACTCTAATTTTGGGTGTCTGAACTTGCATATCATAGGGCCTGATTTTCAGAGGTACTAACTAAGCTTATGTAACTTCAGTTGATGTAAGTGGGATTTGGATAGTCAGTAACTTTGAAAGCCAGGCTATCTGCTGGCCTACTGCCTTCAGTGTCTGTTTAGATCTTAATCTTATGCAGATGTATCTGCCTGCATTTATTTTTTTAGGTTAAAATTTTGTTTAATTTCCTTCAGTCCATTATATTTTTCTCTGCTGGTGTTCGAAACACACTCCAAACTTCCAGAGCAGACTAAATTAATGTGTTGCTTTTACCTGTACATGTTTAATGAAGAGCATAGCTATAATTTAGCATTCTTCCCTATTTTACTCAAGATAAAGCCCCTCCCTCTTGTTTTGATTTACTTTGTATTTATCATTGGTTCCTATGTGTAGTCCTTTATTTGGTCTTCAGATCACACGACAGTGCACATAATCCAATCTGAATTAATTGTCCTAGTAAAATTTCCATTTATGACTCTATCAATACTTTACCAAGTTCTGGCACTGAATAAATTAAAACTATTTCTGTTCAAGCCAAAAAATAACCTTACCTAAAAAGGTTATCTCCTTCATAGCCCTAACCTCAAATGTTCTCAAATTTATGTAAATATAGAAAATGGTCTCCTAGATTAGAACACGCTTTCATCTCAAAAGGGTTGTAGGGCACCATAGTGACCAGTGCAAATAATTGTTACTGTCTCACTGAGCAAAGAATATATATTTGCACACTGAACACACACAGCATGGGGAAAATCTTCTCTGTACTTAACCTCGCTATATCTTTCCTAACACTTCTAGGAAGCTTTTTCTTTAATGAATTTAGTGGTCATGAAAGGTGCTGGATTGGAACCAATTTGTTTGGATCGTTATCTGTAGTGGCCACTTGAAGGGATGACAGAACACAGTAATGCAGTCTCTGCTGTTGTAAATTTGGCACCATTCTTGAGCACAAAACTTTAATTGGGCTAGATTTTGATTTGCCAGAAATATAGCAAGGCCAGGGGGAGAGCAAGGCCACACCCCCTGCCATGTGCAACTGCATTAGGGCTGCTTAAATCAGAGCTTGGCATATGGGAAAGGAAGACAAAGAGAGCACAAAATGCATGCCTGATGCACCTACCCTGACTCCCATATGTACACACACAGGTCAGTAGCAGGCCAGGCAAATGCTCCATGAAAATGGGCAAAATAATTTAGCCCTCCTTTCCTTTTTCCCCCTCTCCAAAAGCAGGATGTAGGCACTGGAGGAACTGAAAGTGATTCATTGTTTCTTCTTGGGGTGACATGTAGCTGCACCATCCCATCCTCTGGACTGAGTCTAAAGGCTCTTTTACCCTTTATTTCCCCACACCACCACATTATTCTCAATATGCTTATTGAATAAGAATCTAAGCCACAGTCGCAATGAAACTACTCCTCTAGTTAATGAATAGAAATTGTGATTTACAGCATAAAATGCCTTTTCTCCCTGAATGTCCCACACTCGTTGTTCATCCCTTGTCATTTCCTAGAGGCACAAGGCTTCATTCATAGTAAAATAATTTAGGCTTTTAAATAGTGCTATGAGACAGTTTAAATATTTAAAGAACATCTTGTTCTGAATGAAATTGCAATGGGTGTATGTATACTATGGTCGATGACTGTTTCACCTGGTGTCTTTTAAGTTGCGTAGTACTAGTCACCGCTAAGTGCCAAACTGTGCTCACTTTACTGATGTAAGTTGTTCAATTAAAGTCAATAGGACTAATCCTATGAGTGAGATGAGCAAAATTTGGCCCTAAAATGGGACTGATACTGCTAAGGACCTGGCAAGAGTACTACTACTGATGTCAATGGGACTAATTATTATAAGAAAGGATAGAAGCATCTGGCACTACATTAGGGACCTGTGATGGGTTGTCACCCCTGGGGTGCAGTCTGAGAGCTGTGGGAACCACTGCACCCCTCTAAGATACACAGCTGGGTGGGGACACATCCAGCCTAACCCAGGCCCCGTTATCATCCAACATGACAGCAGGTGGTGCTACCTGAGTGCAAACAGACACCAGCCAATTTCCCAGCTCCCCAGGCTTCTTCTCCCTGCCCCCCCCCTCAGAGTATAAACCCAAAATTATACCGTCTTGTGCTGCACAGGGAACTGTACAGCGTACGCGCATAGAGTTTGCCTCTCTCTCAATGTGGAGTTGAAATACAACAAGCCCCTCTGAGCTAAGATTCCCAAACACTACACTCCAAACTCACTGGTTTAGATTAAAACATAAAATAAGTCTAGTCACTACAAAAGATAGATTTTAAGTGATAGCAAACAGATCAAAGCAGATTACCTAGCAAATAAACAAAAGTGCAACCTAAGCTTAATATACTAGATTGGATATAAATAGCAGATTCTGACCCTGAAAAATGATACAAGCAGGCTGCAGATTCTTAAGCTTGCTTTACAGCTTGGAATCCCCAGGTCTTTCATACACAGGCTAGAAATCCCTTAGCCTGGGTCCAGCACTTCCCTCAGCTCAGTCTTTGTTCCTCAGGTGTTTCCTTCTTGTGTGTGGGGGTGAAGACCTCCCAGATTTTATATAGCTTTAGTATGTGGTGGGAACCCTTTGTTTCAAAGCTTGGTTCCCAAGCCAGTTTGTGGAAAAGTACTGGCATCCCAAGATGGAGGGCAGCATCATGTGGCCTGGTCACATGTCCTTGCAGAGTCATAGCAGCCATTACTTACAGCAGCGATGGGCAACCTTACAGGGACATGCTGGCTGCCGCTTCCCACAGCTCCCATTGGCCAGGAACGGCGAACTATGGTCACTGGGAGCTGCAGGGGGCCGTGCCTGCAGACAGTCAACATCAGCAAAATATCTTGTGGCCTACAATCAGATTACCCTGACGGGCTGCAGGTTGCCCGCCACTAGCCTAGAGGGACTACTATTCCTTAAAAATGGCTTTATAATGTAAAAGGGAGCCCTTCCACCTGCCAGTCTGTTAAAGTAATAGAACCCCGTTTCTCCAGGCCACATTATAATTACACCTCTACCTCGATATAACTCTGTCCTCGGGAGCCAAAAAATCTTACCACGTTATAGGTGAAACCGCGTTATATCGAACTTGCTTTGATCCACTGGAGTGTGCGCGCGCACACACACACACCCCCGGAGCACTGCTTTACCACGTTATAGCCGAATTTGTGTTATATCGGGTCGCATTATATCGGGGTAGCGGTGTATTTTGTTAGAATCCCACAGTAGGTTATCCTTAGGATAGGTGTGCCTTTTCCTGACAAAAATTTAAAAGTGGATCAAAGGTTAAGTAACTACCTTCAAACCTGTTCTCCTCTGCTCTGTAAAATCTCTGCTTGACCAGGCATACATTATAACCCAAGAGTGTGTCACTCTAGACACCAGCTTTCTGTAACTAAAACAAAATATGGCTTAAGTGACTAAAATACTCAGGCACGCTCATTAGGAAGAAGACAGTTTTAGCTATAGTTTGGTTTTATCTAAATGACCTTTGCATTTAAATAATTAGTAGCAGTTTGTACTGCAAGCCTGAGATGATAGGGTGGGGTGGAAGGCAAAAGGGCATGTGAGAAAGCTACTTCTTTAATAGCACATGCTAACCCTATTATTTCTATTGCTGCCATCCTCGTTATTTTCATGTATGATTAAAATGACTCAATTATGACCGTTTAATCAATGGCTCAGAGAAAATGTCTTGCTGTGCCAACAAGAGACTTTAAGAAATCTTAAGATGCTTGTGTAGGATTCTTGTAAAATGTCCTGGCCTGGCTGCAGAGGATAGTAGTGTACAACTGCTGCCACCAGCTAATATTTACTCCTTTAGCTCGGGGAGGGGGGATGCTGACTATTCCAGGTTGAAAATTTTGCTGATGACCCTTGGGGGGGTTTTACATGAAAAGATGGCAGCTTGCGTTTACAACTGGAGGAATGGGAAGCAACTCTTAATTGATTAGAGGGTAAAAATGGATCTCAAAATACAGTGACTTACATCTATTGTAAAGATGTTTCTGCTTTTATTTATTACAATTATTTTTATTATCCCATAGTGTTCATAGGGAAAGTACTGAAGAGGCTCTTTGCTGCTACTCCCTCCACTTCTTATATGCCTGTTCCAAGTGGAGAAGAGATGGTACTAAAAACTCCTGCCTCAAAACCACAGCAGAAGGATTCTGAGAATGCTCAGGCTTCATCAGAATGTGCCAGTTCCCCAGGTAATATAATCTGCAAATTACTACAGTGTGAAAATATTTGGGTTTTGGTCATTGTTTTTAAAGAGAAAAAACAGTTAGTGCAGAGCCTTGTCCTATGTATGCATTGAGCCCCAAATTTTAAACGCAAAATAGCTTTTGGGTCTGTCTATAAGTTCTATGCAGTGCATACTATTCAGCATCTTGAACAAACTAAATTTTTCACTGACCAAAAAAAAATCCTTTTGTTAATGTAAAGTTAGGGTTGCCTGGTGGTATCGTGTGTCCTTCAAGAATGTCAAGTTCAGCAAGACTCAGAAGTCTGAGAGTTAAGGTATGCACCAGAGCAACCTTGATTTTGTACGTTCTGGTTTTCAGAATTCTGAGTTTTGTTGAACTTGAAATTCTGGAAAGGCACATAATTCTATCAGGCAACCTTAACTCTGCACTAACAAAAGGATATTTTGTCAGTGAATTTCCTAACTCTTTTTTTAAACATAAAAATGCTCTTTGTAGGAGTTCTTTATTTGGACAGCTCTCGTTATTACAGAGATGTACAGTAGGGATGCTACTGTGACACTAAATGCAAAAGATGCAATGTGATTCCTAAGTGGTCTGTAGTTCACCTCACAGTACGTTTTGTTATAATGTAATGGTTTGTACTTTGAAATGTTAGGAGGGTGGAGTGGCTGACAGGGCAGGCAGAGAAATGGGCATTGACTGTCACAGAATGTTGATAGACGTTCTGTGTTGGTTACAGTAAGTTTAAGCATGTGAGAGAAGACTTTGTGTGTCTCCTTCTCTACACAGAACCTTTCCCATATTTCCAGCTAACCCTCCCCTTCCTGTCTTGTAAATTATTACACTCTAGAAGCAAAGTTGTCCGTTGCTGTTTGGTGCCCATTATTGGTGCAAACAAATCATAGGCAGCACTTTTTTTTGTTACATAGGCTGAGCTTTACATTGAGCTGCTTTCCATGGAGAGAGGACTCTGCTGGACTGGCAGAGAGAGGAGGTGATGATGGCCGAGGCAGTGAAGGGATCAACATGCAGACAGGGTAATCGTTGCTCTGGCTAGGCTCACCCACACCACTCCACACCAGCCTGCCTGTCCACATGGGGAATGGCATGTACCTCAACTTTGTATTTCCTTATTTAGCCACTCTCCTCATTCTGGAATGCTATGCGGTGCCACAGTGCAACCCAAACTCTGTGTCAGTTAGGTTTTAGAATAATCACTCAGAACTCACACTTACCACAGCCCAGTTCTCCCCTACCACTGTTTTTGCTGTCATCGCCTCATCGCCCCTCTCTCTGCCAGTCATGAGTTTCCAGTGCAACATTGTGGCTAAAAAGGCTAATGTGATCCTTGGATGTTGTAACAGGCCTTTAAAGGCCGGAAGCCTGGGGGCAGCCAGCCGTGTTTATTTACCCCATGAACATGAATGAGGGTTATGTTGTACTCCACGAGCATGTAGTGTTAACACATGAACTAGTGGTCCTCCAACTATGCTGTTCTTCGGACATGTGTACTTGTGCTTAAGTGACAAATTCAGCAAAAAAAAAAGTTTTTAATTTAGCGTGACAAACACTTTTTGATAACGGGAAAAATACATGTGGGTAAAATGTACCCCAAACATGTTGTACTGTTAGCCTGTATTTTTAGTAGTTCTATATACACTTTTGCCTCTAAGAGAGTATCTTTTATTGTAATAGAGGTAACTGTCTTCCTCACTAGCAAGGTGGGTTTTTTTACATAAATGTAACTTGCATATGATAATTGATAAAGTATATGTGGAATAATGTGGCTATGTTGCAATATCTCATGAACTGGTGGTCATCCAACTGTGTCGCTTTAGGATATTGCATATGCTAACTGATAATGAATTGCAGTGACAGTAGTTGCTGCATTCAATTACAATAAGGTAGGAAGTCCTCCAAGGATGTGTGAAAATTGCATATGGGCCCATGCTTAATGAGACTCCTGCTAGTTCTTTCAATTTCCAAGTTAAATAAAGTTGTTGGTTTTTTTCATCGTGAATATTAAAGAATTATTCTTCACTTCTGAATACACTTGCTGGACAGTTCCCCACAACACAATTAATGTAACTTTTTTTTCTCAACACTGGGTGAAGATTAATCACATGAGGCTGAGAAGGGGACAGCTGTTAGCTATAAAGAGTTGTGGGGGCGGGTGGAAGGAGGGAGGGAGTAATACAGAGAAGCTGCAGGAAAGAACCATCTAGACAGACTGGGTGGGAAGTCCTAGGACTGGAGTTGTGACTGAGTAAAAAGCCCTATCTGGAAGTTTTTTGTTTTCCTTTGTGAGTTTGTGGTTGTTTAGTCTTTCCCTCCAGGCTCCAATTTTTGTCTAAAGACTGATTTGGGTGTGGCTAATTCCCCAGGCTAGTGAGTGAGATTGGTAGTATACAGATGTATAAGCAGGGGAATCATGTATGAGTAGGAAGTTTATATTAGCTTCCTTAGCAACTGCTCCTGGAAAACTGTCCACAATTCAAGGATAAGGATGAGTTGGAGAGGGTTCAAAGAGCCGTGAGATGGATTGGAAAACGAGCCCCTAAAGTCTTTCATTATAAGGCATAATCTACTTACCTTAACAAAGAGAAGGTTAAGGGGTGACTTGAACACAGTCTGTAAGTACCTATATGGGGGAAAAAATTGATAATAGGGGGCTAGCAGACAGATATAACAAGATCCAGTGGCTGGAAGTTGAAGTTAAACAAATTCAGACTAGAAATTATATTAGCCAAGATGGGCAGGTATGGTGTCCCTAGCCAATGTTTGACAGAAGCTGGAAATGGGCGATGGATCACTTGATGCTTACCTGTTCTGGTCCTTCCCTCTGAAGCACCTGGTATTGGTTGCTGTTGGAAGACAGGATACTGGGCTAGATGGACCTTTGGATGTGCTCTAACTCTAACAGTAATTAATTCAGTGAAGTCCTATGGACTATGTTGTACAGAAGGCTGAACTGGGTGATCACAATGGTCCCTTTTGGCCTTCTAATGCATTAAACTGTTTGCTCCTCACTGCTGACCCTCCACATTCTCCACCTACACACTCCCAAACTAGTCAGACTCCCTCACCACTGCTCCAACATTCTCTCCTCTTGCCATGCCAACCTTAAACCTTCCACATCTCCGCTGCCTCCCCCATCGTGGAATTCAGTCTCTGCAACAAAGCCTTCTTGTAGTGTGGAGAAGGAGAACAGTGCTATGAGGGTAACTGAAATGGCTCCCTCTGCATTCAGATTTGTTAGATGATCTAGGCCTAATTTTTTTTCTTGTCTCGATTACGAACTTCCAAATTAGTCAGTGGCAGTGCCAAATATTACGTGCTTTATATCTTCAATGTGCTTTACAGATATTAACTACTATTTAAAAGAATCCTACAATGTTTGTGAGTAACTATTATCTTCATTCTCCATCTGTGTAAAAAATTAGGCATATAGAAGTGATTTATCTGGCTTTGTTGATGGTAGAACTGTGATTAGAACTGAGAAGTTCTAGCCCTGAGTCCTTTTCTTATACCAGGCTGCCATTCAAAACTAACACCTTCCAAAAAGACTGTCTTGTTCCTATGTAAAATAGTATGTAATTTCACATGGACACAAGTCTGTCTCTTCTGAAGACTGCTGCTTTGTTTCCTTTAGACTTCATGTATGAACACAGGCTCTTTTTTTAATTACTTTCTCATAGAATAAATGTTTCTTTCTAAAGCCTATGAATAAACTCATCTGACTAGAGTTTCCTAAATGTGCAAGAAAAAAAAGCCCAAAACACAACAGTCCCCTTTTCTGGGAGTGCAAGCATTGATAGTTGCCCACTTTATCACCAATAAATGCTAATAATAACTTGATAGTTGGAATTCTGGTAGGGATAAATAGCACTGCTTGTGTTTTGTTGTATTATCACTGTAAAGATAAACAAAACACACTAGCACAGTAAGAGCCCTATTTTTGGAAAGATGCAAAAAATAGGAACTCCTTTTAAAAGACAGTTATTTTTTAAAAACACTCAGGCAGCACCTGCCTAACTGTTTAAAAAACACTTTTCATAATGTATGGTTTTAAATAGGCTATAATTTAAAATTTGTTTTAATTCTCCCAAAAGTGACAAATTAGTAGTACTGCATAGTATTAATAAGTTCTGGGATGAAAGCTCAAGAAAAAGCCCCAAATAATTGAGGAACTCCAGGGAGAAATCCATGTCCTTTGTGGCGGAGGACTTGGAGAGTAGATATCATTCACAAGCTCAGTCTAGTCAGCATTCCCTTTAAGAAAGGAAAGCTGTTTGGCACTGGAACTAGAAGATCGCCTCTGAATCTAAGAAATGCTTGTATCCTTCTCTGCCTTTCTAAGGGGTTCTATTTTTCCTATTTCTTAGGTCTACCCAGGAAACTAGCATTTTGCCTTTGGTAGCTATCTTTTGGTCTTGAAGGTACTAATATCACTGCCTGTCTAGAACACTGTACAACTTTTCAAATTCAAAATTGGTCATGGTAAAATCTTCACTCTTTGACAACGGTCATATTGGCTGAAATGATTGGAAAACTGAACCCTGCTGATATTGGTCCTCTTCAAGTACAGATAGGAAGACCGAATTGTTCTCCATCCAGCTTCCCAAAGTGTTTCCAAATGCCATATTAAAAAACATGTTTCAAAACCTGTATCGCATCAAAGAAATGCCTGGCAACATTTAATTTATTAGGAAACTTGTTTGATATGGGCACGAAAGACTCACTTTAATAGACAGCATTAAAACTTTACACCTCCTGGCTAATGGAAGTAATGTTCTTGGCTTTTGTTAAGGCCTGACCTAGCTATAGCAAGGATAAATATTGGGAAAGATGGTTTCTTTTGAAATCTACAAAGCCTGGAACCTGATGGGTGGGGGGTTCTGTCTTTAGAGCTCCAGTCCTATGGTGGAGGGGCTTTGTAAGTAAGTAGATGGACTATAAAGTAGGCTTGCACACTTTTGACAGCAGATTTCTAAGGGTGTCTT